TATCCGGCTTTCTGACCCTCCCTATAAATATATTCGTCCAATCTGGCTCGGTTTATTTTCTTCATATGTGTTTCCAAATAATTTAATTGAACTGCTAGGATTTGTTGAAATCTACTTGAAATATCATCCTCATTCATATTCTCTGCATCAAACTATAAGAAAAAAAGAATTATGCTAAATAGCGACGGTACAACGTTAAAAGTTAACTCATACAAGAGAACACTGATCTTACACTTCTAAAAATAGTTTCCTTCCACGATTTAAATTTCTCATTTAACTCTTCATCACCCCAAGCCGCTGCTGGTCTTTTTATTTCCACCAACCATTCTTCTCCAGCATTTTTAACCAAGGAATTAATTAAGTTTTGGCACTACAATAAAAATCAATTAATATTATCTACATTTTCAAATGTAGTTTTAAAAAATTTATGAATTTACAAATGTGATTTTTTTCCCAGCATTTTTTTTGGATAGTAGATGAAAATTTACTTCTATTTCTTTATCAAGTTTTCTTTGTAAAACGGTTGAAATATCTTCATAGTTTCCAAGAGAAGCCGCCTCAAACTGTTTAAATAATTATGATATTAAAATTTAAAAAATACTTTTTTCAGTGTTTTGAATAATCAAATTCAAACCTTGTCGATTGATTGCTTTTTCGTATCACGATGAAGTTCTATCAGTTCATCGCGTTTTAAATATGAAGAAGATTTTTCGATATATTCTTCCATTGAATGATTATACTGTTTCAAATATCTATTATATGCATGAACAATGTTGAGCAGTTCAGAATGTATGACATCCACTTTTTGTATGAGTTTTTCACGAACTGCGACTTCTCCGTCATCGATTTTTTTCAAATCAAACTGTATGGACAATATAGAATTGCGATTAAGTGGAGAACATTAAAACGATATTTCGTGGAAAAAAAAGTCTAATGCTCACATCTTGAATGGCAGCTCTTTCGATTTTGTTAGTCACATTACCAAACTCATTTTCATCCAGTATTCTTCCGAATGTATCAAGTGCCACACCAACACTTTGTTTAATAGTGTCTATTAGTTCCACGCTTAGTTTTTCATTGTGCTCATTCGCACTTTTCTGAATTCACAAAAAATAAAATTGTGTCAATCATAGCGTAAAATGTCGATGATATAAATAAATGAAAATAAACTTACGATGAAGTCGTCGTGCTTCAATTGATTTTTTGATTCAAAGTATGGGAATTGCTTGTCGATCTCATTTAATATTCTGTATTGGATGGCATATGCTATCGTTTCATCACATCCATCCAATTTTCTTGTAAGCTATATGAAATTCACTCAATAAAATTAATACTGTTCACTTAACGTCGAATTCAATCTAATGCTACCTGTGATTTTGAGTTTTCTTTCGCTAACTCATGAATATCTTTGAGCTTATTTTGCTTGAAATAAGTTTCAATCCCATTAATGCTCTTCGTCATAAAGTTATTATATTCGTTGATAGAGTCGTTATGCGTCTCAAATGCCTGATTCACCATGGATAGAAAATCATATAAAGCGTTTTCAAATTGATCTCGCATCACACCAGAAACATCGACGTCACCCATTTTCCTGGAGTCAAACTGAACAAGGTAAAAACGCGATAAATAGTCAATTATTTGATATTAATGTTTGGAAGTTTCAACTGGGACCAAAAAAGGTTTTTACATACCTGTTTTAGAAAATCTTGAACACCAGGCAAAATACCATTACTCAATGTGGAATTTGCATTATTAATCTGCACTAATACTCTGTTTTTGAACTGTTCCTTTAGTTCAAAACATATTTTTTCGTTGTGCAATTTGGCTTTCCCCTGAAAAACAAATAATTTAACGATATTTGGTCGATTGTTTTTAGTGAAATTGCACTCACAATGAAAATATTTCGTTTCTCTTCATTTTTTCGTTGAAATGAGATGAAATGATTTTCTATATTTTCTTCCATTTCGTTCTGCTGGAAGTTTATAGCGTTATCACTCCCAAGTTTAAGTGTATTTTTAAACTTGGTGATTGCATCGATCTTTGCTCTTTTATGAAGTTCCATGAGTTTATCGCTTTTAAAGTATGGATCGAGGTTAATGAGCTGTTTCTCCATGAAATCACTATAATTTCTCACACAGTCATTCGCTAGGATTAGATTGTTCACTTTTGCAGTTGCCTATTTCGAAAATATTGTGAATTTCTTGAACATAACTAAAATTTAATTTTTTTTGCATACCTCATACATTGGTTGTGGTTCAGGTAATGTATTGTTATTGAACAAATTCGTATATTCGCGTAGGTAGTGGACCAAATCGCGAGCCCGTACATTTTGGCCATTAATGTTTTTAATAAGCAAATTTTCCGGAGCGAATAGATCTTGCGACAATTCTTTAGCAAATTTCAAAAACTCAGGGTCGATCTGTTTCAAAGAACCGTTGAAGTTTTTTTTTCGTGCAACAGTCATGCCAGGATGTGGCATTAAAAATGCACCAATTTCATCGAAACTTGATCTGATTTCCTTTCTCAATTGTTGCATATCGTCCGTTTGTTCGTCATTTCCATCGAGTATTTCATCGATTATTTCTTGACGCCATCCATAATAAGTGTCTTCTGGATATGGCCAGTCACGGACAATGAACAATAGTTTTTGAAATTGTTTTGTGTTCGTATGTTGTAGAGCCACTTTTCCATACTCGGTGAACAATTGCAGATGTTGCAAATCATCCTCTCCGATATTTTGCATTAAATTATAGCACTGAATGGATGAAATCATGGTGCTCAATACAAAAATTGTTGTGCATTCTTTAACACTTGTTTGATCATCGAAAATTCCTTGAGTATCAAGTAAAATGATTGCCACTTTTTCACCGTTTTCGAAGTCATGTGTGTAAATTTCCGACCACATCCAAATGCCAACGGTTTTTCGCTTTCGACCACTCGCCCATTCGAAACCAGACAATGTACTGTTCTCTTTATTTTCACCAAGCCAATCCAACACATCGTGCTTTTTATACTATTTGAGAAAAGTTATAAACACAAAATAGAGGTTTGCTTATTGAGTTCAAACAGAAAGGCAAAATTGTATATGCAGAAAAAGAAAGAGAGAGAGAATTCCATCAATTACCTGCGCCTCTAAATATTTCAAAAAGAAATTGAGCAAAAAACTTTTGCCCTGTCGAAAAGCACCGGCAATAGAAATAACAACCACATCACGATCTTTGATGGCATCAGCTTCTAACACTGTTTTCAATTCGTCTATTTCCAATACAAACGAATGGTTTTTATTTGGAGATATAATTTGAATACTATGCTCCACCATATCGGCACCAATCACAACGCCGAATAGTAAAAGAGCACACGGAATTATTGCTGCGAACTTCATGTTGGACGTATTTATCACACTGAATTAAAAAGTGCATTAAATCTATAATTTATAGACGTTGAGATGTTATTGAAAATTTACTGACTTTGCTGAATAAATTCTAGAACATTGTAGTGTGATAAGCATCCAAATATAAATTACAAGTTTATAAAAATAAACAAGTAATTTGCCAGTTAAAAATGCGTAAGAGTGAAGCGATAATTGATCAACCGATTGCAAACTGATTGAAAATATATACATGAACTTTTGTTATGGCTTTTTGTGAAAAACTACATAATCTCATATGTCATGCCCATGTAATTCATTAGCGGAGTAATTTTGTTGAAGGCGGGACTGTACGGAGTTCCTTTCTATGTCTATCGCTCTTACGCAGAGATGATGAGTAACTTAGCTGTGTGCCCAGTTGTGCACGGCTACTATGATGTTCGTTTCAACAAAATAGATGTATGCACAGCAAATATTGCTGTTGCCCTCGTACACACAGCGTTTGTATGCCATCTCCGCCGAACCCCGCACAATCCCACCATCGACAAAATTACTCCGCAAATGAACTATATGGGTGTAATCACAGTTCAATTTTATGCCATACAAGTAAGAAAGTATTATCGCTTATTACTTTTTAATAAAATGGAATCGAGCAGTATTTGTATCAAAATAAGAAAAGAATATATGATGATTTCGAGTCGATCGCCATCGGTTGATAAACGATCGTTTCGTTCATAAAGCAACTTTGAAAATTCATCGCCTTGTCGACTTCATTATGACGCGAGTACTCAGATTATGAGCGTAATGTTTCCAATAGAGCGAAGTGATTTCATAGTAACATATAAAAGACGGATATAATTCAATATCGCTATTTTGTTCTTAATTTGAACGCTTATCACCGTCAGAAGTTCTTAAAATTTATTTATCAAAGGCAGCCTTATTTTCAATAACATCTCAACGTCTATAAATTAAATTTGAAATATGTTGAACAATTCAGTCTGAAAATTACATCGAATCGAAAATGAAGTTCACTATACTAATTCTGTGTGCTCTCCTACAATTCGGCGTTGTGATTGGTGCCGATGTGGTGGGTCATGTTGTTCAAATTCTATCTTCGAATAATAATCATTCGTTTGTATTGGAAATAGACGAATTGAAAACAGTGTTAGAAGCTGATGCCATCAAAGATCGTGATGTGGTTGTTATTTCTATTGCCGGTGCTTTTCGACAGGGCAAAAGTTTTTTGCTCAATTTCTTTTTGAAATACTTAGAGGCGCAGGTAAATGATGGAATTCTCTCTCTCTTCATTTTTTCTGCATACACTATTGTGCCTTTCGGTTTGAACTCAGTATTAAAAACACGATGTGCTGGATTGGCTTGTTGCTTGTTGAAAATGCAACATCGATCCATACTTTAAAAGCGATAAACTCATGGAACTTCATAAAAGCGTAAAGATCGATGCCATCACCAAGTTTAAAAATACATTGAAACTTGGAAGTAATACCCTTATCAACGTCCAGCAGAAGGAAATGGAGGAAAACATAGAAAAACATTTCATCTCATTTCAACGAAAAAATGAAGAGAAACGAAATATTTTCATTGTGAGTGCAATTTTTTAAAAATTCTATGGGTACCTACCAAAATTCGTTAAATTATCTGTTTTTCAGGAGAAATACAATTTGCACAACGAAAAAATATGAGCAGAACTTAACGAAAAGTTCAAAAACAGAGTATTAGTGCAGATTAATAATGCAAATTTCATGTTGAGCTATGGTATTTTGCCTGGTATTCAAGATCTTCTAAAAATTCAAATCTGATAACTTCACTCTCAAGGTCACAAAACAGGTGATAAAATCAGGGGAATAAAACAATTAACTGGCAAAAAACATAAAGTGTGTCAATGAGTGCTAGATATCAAAAGTCACAAGATTGCTGATAATTTTCAGAAACTTTCTCCGCTTAATATATGCTATTAATATACAGCGACGCAGACGCAACGCGGTAGCGTTCATCATCGGCGACGATACTAGTGTGACTAAAACCGGTTGCTTTCAATTGATACGGCCACAATTGATTGAGTCTCAGTCGAAAGGTGTATTCCATAGTGTACAGTTGACGTTACCTCCATTTCAAGCGGTTCGTTGGCTTTTATATTTTATTGTGTTCTCTTTGCCTTTTTGTTTCCATAAAAATAGAAATTATATGATTTCGCCAAAAAGCAATTTTTCTTTTTTTCCACTCTTTTTGACGATGAGTATTTTTCCATCAAACGAATCTGGTTTCTCCACAGCAATTCCATACGAACCGGAACAAAATTCACATCGATATTCAATTTTTTTGCCTCATCATATTTCCTACCTGATAACTTCTAAATGGATCATTTAAACCACGAAAATAATTGAACGTCAATTTTATTCTCATTCACATGGAATTGCTGTCAACCGAATAATGCTGACGTTGTGTAATTTTATTCTACTTTCTATATAGAATCGTTAAATCATGTCATCAAAGCCAATTTTATACATGCATGCATTGAGTCCGCCTGCACGTTCTGTTCTATTGACTGCAGCTGAATTGGGCGTTGAGCTAGAGTGCAAAGTAGTTGATTTGTTCGGACAGGAGCATAAGCAACCCGAATTTATCAAGGTACATTCATCGTCATCTTCATTGCAATTATTAAAACATTTTCCGTTCTGCATCATTTGACTTATTTTTGATTTCAGTTGAATCCACAACACACGATTCCATTTCTCGACGATAATGGTGTGTTGATTGCCGACAGCCACGCAATTTGCGGGTATTTAGTTGGAAAATATGGAAAAGACGACCGATTGTATCCAAAAGATTTGGTGAAACGTGCTCAAGTCGATGCTCGCTTGCATTTTGACTCTGGTCACCTATTCGCTCGTTTGCGCTTTTTGTATTTCCCGATTTTTTTCTACAAATCATGTGAAATGCCGGAAGAACGCATTAAAGAGATTCAAACAGCATGGGATATTTTGGAACGATTTCTTGCTGAAACACCATAT